AAATCCGTTTTACCCTGTATAATGCTTATACAGAGTAAGCTTATAGGTTGTTCGCCCTCTATAACACTGATAGAGAGATTTGCACAGCTGTTTGCCCCCCCAAAAAAGTATTAATACATACTCTGGGTTAAGTAAAAAGAGATTGTATTAAATATAGAAAGTAGGATTTAAGTGGTTCCATGCAGTAACAGACAGAACAAAGTGAATTACCTAGTAAAATAAAATAAAACACGCAAGTCTAAGTCTAGTAATGAAACTGAATACAGGTAAAATCCTCACCCAGTAAACTTCCTTTTACAGACTAGTCTCTTTCTAGTCTGGGTCCAGCAATCACTCACACCCCCTGTAGTTACTGTCCTTTGTTCCAGTTTCTTTCAAGTATCCTTGGGGGTGGGGAGGCTCTTTCTTTAGCCAGCTGAAGACAAAATGGAGGGGTCTGTCAGGGATTTAAATAGACTTTCTCTTGTGGGTAGAGACCCCCTCCTCTCTCCTATGCAAAGCCCAGCTACAAAATGGAGTTTTGGAGTCACCTGGGCAAGACACATGTCCATGCCCTGAGTTCCTTACCAGCCAAGCCACATTCCTGGAAAAGCTCAGATGTGGATTGGCGTCTCCAAGTTCATTGTTGGCTTAAGGGCTTCTTGACAGGGTGTGACGAAGTGGGACTGTTCTTAATGTTTCCTCTGAATAGCGTGGGGGTGCCTCAGTTTCCCCTAGGCAGTTCTTAAGTATCTAGGGGATGGAGTAAGGGTGTATGATCATTGCAGAGCCCTAGAGGGCAGGTGTGTGCAGGAGTCTGGACACAGAGAATGGCCGACACCCTGTTTCCTGGCAACTGATGGCCTGGGCCCTTCCCCCCCTGCAAGGTGAGAGCTGAAGGGTTGGAGAACAAAGGAATCAGGTGACCTCCTGGCCCGGGAAAGGAACAAAGCCCAGAGGAGGAGGGGCTGGAGGGGGTTTTCAGTTTGGGGCTGGCTGGGACATGGAGTGAAGTGCAGACGTGGTTGTCTGGCTCACTGCTCCCCAAAATGGACCCAGCTGAGGGGTCCCGTTCTCTGCACCTGCAAGCTCTGGTTTAGACCATGTTCCTGTCGTCTAATAAACCTTCTGTTTTACTGGCTGGCTGAGAGTCACGTCTGACTGCGAAGTTGGGGTGCAGGACCCTCTGGCTTCCCCAGGAGCCCCGCCTGGGCGGACTGGCTGTGGGAAGCGCACTGGAGGGGCAGAGGATGCTGAATGCTCCGAGGTCAGACCCAGGAAGGTGGAAGCTGAGTGAGCTGCGTGTCCTGAAGACAGGCTGCTCACAGAAAGGCGACTGCCCCAGAGTCCTGACTGGCTTCATGGGGAGCAGTTCCAGAGCATCGCCCAGGGACTCCGTGACACAGGGCACTTACTGAGAATGGTCTTTTCTCAGGAAGCTGACCAACTGCTTCACTAAAACCTACTCAGAATCAGACAAGTACACAGCAAACATTCATAACTTCGAATACAACAATGAGACATGCACACAAATAGGATGAATAGATTCAGTAGATCATAACCTCTACAGAGATATGTTCCATGGCATATTTAGCACAAAACACATTCCATTATGTCATATATACATTCATAAGCATATTTCCATAAAGCCCTATGGGGGGGCACCGTCACAGACCACAAGTGCTGAGATGACCTACCATGGTGACAGGGCGACGTCTGGTCCGCACTGACCCCCACACTGGCACCAGGCACCAGCTAGTGCAGCAGAGGGTGCAGACCTCTCACACCGCAGCAGCACCTGGACCCAGCAATGGGGGCCCTATCCACAAACACCCCCCTCCAGCCCTGCCGCCGAGCAGGTGAATTTCAGTCTCATTCAGCCAAGGCAGCAGGCAGATGCAGGCAAGAGAACATGATTAACCCCATATTGAAATGCCAGATGATGTGAATTAGCAGGAAACCAGGCTCCTAAGCTGCAGGGCTGATTAATCATTAAATAGCAAGTACACCTGTAAACAGAGGTCTGAGCTCCTCCTGGCAGGCCCTGTCCCGTGTCCCAGCTGGGCGTTGGCAGGGCTGAGGGACAGATGCAAATGCCCTGGGGAGTGGTGCGAGGGCTCACTTGTCCCACCCGAGACTGGGGGACATGGGGAGCTTGCTGGGGTCTCTTCCCTGTGAGTACCTTCCCCGGAGAGCAATATCTTTCCATGAGGAACACCCTCACCCCACCCCACCCCTGTGGCTTGTCCCCTCCCCCTAGAACAGCCACCTCCCAGCTCCTCTCTGCCCTGGGCCTAAGAGCAAACCCTGGCGAGAACCGCCAGGGCCTTGGGCTGGTTTTCCCCCCCCACGCTCAGCGTGCTCAGGACCAGGGAAAATACAGTCACTAGCTCCTTGGGCAGGTCTGCAGCAGGAGCAGATCAGCAGAATTCCTCTGGAGTCGGTGGGGCTCGGCTGGTTTCCAGCCACTGGGGAGCTGGCCCATGGTCTCCCCTGTGGGGCCAGGTGGCCCGTCCCCTTGCACCCATGTGATGCGGGAAGAGAAAGGCAGGGGGCATCCAGCTGCACCAAGGGGTTCTAAGGCCAGCACAGCTGTCTGTGACCACCAGGTCTGACCTCCTGTATAGCACAGGACTTCCCTGAATGAACTCTGCCTCCAGGCCAAGCGCTGGGCCTGCGCTAGGAAGTATCGTGTGGGAAAACAGACCAGCTCCATTGAAACCTGCCAGTGATGGAGAATCCCCCTGGCCCTTGGCCAATCACCCTCCCTGGTACAAAACTGCACCGGAATCCAGCCAGCTCCAGCTTCCAGCCATTGGATTGTTCTGCGAGCCCTCTCCTTACCCAGCTGTACGTCAACACGATTGCAGGTCACGTGGCCTCTAGCAACCGCCATCGCCACGCTTGCTAAAACGAGGTCACAGAGCAGCGGGAGAAAGGGAGACAACGACTTCGCAGGCTGCAGGGCGGGATTAGCGATAACGAGGACGGCGGCCCCTGGTGAGCGGGGAGGAATGTGCTGCTGTTATTATTGACTGGTGTGGGGGCGTTCAGAGTCGGGGGGGCCCTTAGTACAAACACGTCGGAAGCACCATTCCCATCCTGGTCTATGCTAGAGTTTTCAGGCAGCTTGGCTCAGTGACTGGGACGTTGCACAGAGAAGCAGGAGGCTGGGGTTCTTCCCTGCCCTGTTGGGTGACCTTGGGCAAGTTACTTCCCCACTCTGTGCCTCAGTTTCTCCTGTTTCCCCTTCGTCAGTTTTGTCTATTTAGACTGTGAGCTCTTTGGTGCAAGGGCTCTGTGCCTGGCACTACAGGGCCCTGATCCCAGCTGGGGCCTCTAGATACCACTGAGCAAACCACCCATAGAGACACCCCCCTCCCCATAGGCTGGTAAGGGAAGCCTGGCCTACAAGGGGTGTGCTCTGCAGGAAGCAGCCAGACCTGGCCTGTGGCTGGACCACAGAGCTGGTGATTCCACACCTGGCGCTAGGGACATGCCGGGCAGGTGATGCTTAAAGGAATGTCACCGAGTGGCAGGGGAAAGGGTGACCGGGACATGCTCCGCAGGAGGGTGTGAGCACCCCAGATGCTGTGTGGGTGACCTGGGCCCTGTGCAGCCAGTTAGCAGGAGGCCTTTGCACCAGCCTGTCTCAGAAAGGGGTGGGTTTGTGCTGGCCCCTGCCCAGAGACAAAGCCTGCCTGATAGGCATGAACCCAGATTGGCTCTGCTATTCTGCCTCCCGCGCCTTGGCCTGCCTCTCCTCCAGCTCTGCCTCAGTGCCCGTCCCCCCGGTATCTGAGTGCTCCCCAGGTGACCAGCCCAGCAGGCTGTTCTCCAGGGGAAATGCTGTAAGATTTCGCTGCACTATTTCATATGTGGCTTTCAAAGTAGGGAGCATCCCCTGCCCCCATCGTCATAGCCAGAGCCCTGCGGAGCCCCCCTGTGCTAGGCCCAAAATTACCCTGGGAGGAGGAATGTGGCAAAGGGCCAACGAGCTCCATGAGTTTCTGCCCCATAAACACGCTTCTCCTGCCGGAGGGTGCCGCAAACCTCCCTCCCCTGGCTCCAGCCCTGCATTTGGCGCTGTTTGCAGGTAAGTCCTTACAGGAAGCATTTCACCAGTGCCAGCCCCCTTCCCCCCCCCCCCCCACAATTGCCCAGCCGAGCCCCATGGGGGTTTGTTTGTGCCATGCTCTGGGAAGCCTCCTGTTGCTGCCTTATCTAGTGTGTGAGCCCGGCTGACTCAGCCCCACTGACCTGCACAGTGACCTCTGGGTGAAGCAGGAGCCGGGTGGTGCCCAGACAGCATGGGGCACCCTGCACCCACTGGAGTAAATGACAGCCCCGAGCGCCGAGTCCCAGCACCCCAGGGTGTTGTCTGGTGCCCAGAGTGACAGGACCAAGTCAAAGTCAAGTGGGACATGAGCAATGTAGGTGGGTCTGTGGGGCACGCATGCCCCCCCATACACACTCATATTCACACCCACACAATCAGTGATCACACACATAGTAATTGTATGCACCCCCTCATGCAGTGATCACAGGCATAGAGAGTGATCTCACACACGCACACACACTGATCACACACACGTGCACACACACTGATCTCTCTCTCTCACACACACACACACACTGATCTCTCTCTCACACTCACACGCACGCGCATCCCCGTGTGCTCAGCCCCCTGCCAGCCGGGGCGGGGGCCGCCCGCCCCATCGCTGCTCCGCGGGGCGCTCGGTCCCCAGCACCGGGCAGGGCCGGTCCCCGCCCCGCCGCAGCCGCTGGCCCGGGCAGCCCCGCTCGGCGGCCGCGCAGCGCAGCGCAGCGCAGCGCGGGGAGGGGAGCCCGAGCGGCTGCGGCGCGCAGAGGGCGGCGCACGGGGGCGGCGCAGGCAGCCGGGGTCTGAGCAGCGCCCGCGGCCCCGCCGACTTCAGCACCCGGGACAGAGCCGCGCAGGGGCCGGCGCAGCCGCTTCAGCACCGGGGACAGCGGCCGCTTCGCGCCGGTCCGCGGCCCGGGCCGCCCCGCTCCAGCCCGCAGCCGGGTCCCCGCCGCCCCGCCCGGCCCGGGGCCATGTCCCGCCGCCACGGGAGGATGCAGCCGCCGTCCGCCCCCCTGGCTTCGCTCCTGAGCCTCTGCCTGCTCGGGCTCCTGCGAAGTAAGTGCCCGCCGGGCGCCTGCGAGCCCCGGCCCCGGGGTGGGGGGCCGGGCCGGGCGGTGCAGCCCTGGGCCGGCATGGCCCCGTTTGTGCCCGGGCTGGCGCAGGGTGACCGGAGAGCAAGTGGGGGAAATCGGGAGACTTTTCGGGGCGCGGGGAGCGTTGTGTATATAAGAGAAAGCCCCTAATAACAGCCCCAGCCCAGCCCGGTGGGTGCAACGGGCCCCTTGGGGCTCCCATTCACCAGGGGCTGGGGCTGACAGGGCCTTTCCTTCTCTGCGTGCCCCCAAAGGCGGAAGCTCACCTGCCCCCACCAGGCCGGGCTAAGGGGGCCAGGGCTGAGAGCGCCTTGGCCTCTCCGCCTGCTTGGGTTGTCCAAGTCCGGTTTGTCTCCCGGGTTAGTCCCAGCTCTGCTGCCCCCCGTGCGGGGTGGGCGCGTGTCCCCAGCGGGTGTAAAGGGCCATCGCTCCATGGATCTCCCCTGGGCTCAGATCTGTGCACCCCTGAACTGCTGGTCTTGGTTAGCTGCCTGCCTGTTGCTAAAGAGAATGGCGGTGGCCCATGAGTGGACTTGAATTTTCCAAATCTCCTCAGTCCAGAAGAATTGATTGCCAGGGAATATTTCCAGTTCTAGAGCGCGTGTGTCTAGCGGGCGCACACCCAGGCCCACAGATACACACACCCCAGACGCACTCACCCCGGGCAACGTTCTGTGCCTCTGACTCCAAGCAGCAGCAGGCCGCCTCTGTTCAGTTAGGTGCGAGATCATATTAATTTCTAGAGGAACAAGGGAGATTAGAGAAAGTCAGCTCTCCCTTATTAGCCAGGCACTTTCAAAGCCCCCCTCCCTCTCCCTTCAGCTAGAAACGGTGCTCGGATGCCACAGCACGGGCTGCTAGACAGACAGACAGCGGCGGGGTGCATGGAGATTTGAGGGAGAGACAGACAGTGTCTGGGCCTATGCCCAGGGCCAGACGCAGACTCCATGGTCCTGTAGCTCTCGCAGGGCAGGGTGGTGCTTAGCCCCAGACATGTCCCGCCAGCTCCTTGCCCTTCCCCCAGCTTTTCTGCACCAGGCTGGCTGCTCCACGTGATTTATTGCGCTGACTCCCATTAGTCGCAGAGCCTGGGCACCCCGGCGTTGACAGCGGGGTTTTGTGTCAACAGCTGTAACACAACGCAGGCGTCCAGCTGTCAGGCCACACAGAGAGACAAAGCTACTGACAAGCCCTGCCGGGCCCAGGCTGCTGGGGACTCTCCCATACGGTGCCGACTTCACATTCAGTTATTTCCCAGCCTGAGTCATCCCTGGCTGCCTTGTGCTCCGGCAGAGCCAGAGGCTTGGTTATATCTAAACACGCTCTCTGGCTGTACATCAATTGTGTGTGCGCGCGTGTGCATCTTTATCATCTGTCCAGACTCCCCAAAGGTGGCCAACACCCAGCACTCCCCAGCTGTGACCAAAGCAGCTGCTGGATGCTGAGCAGCTCTGGAAATCTGAGCCCCAGGTGTGTGGGGGTAGGTGCCTACACACACATGCATGCACTTGTAATTGAATGGCCAGAAATGTAAAACTGAGAAAATAAATTTTCACAGTGCATATATAGCCTGTGGAACTCCTTGCCACAAGATATAACCAAGCCTGAATGTTTAGCAGGATTGCACACTAAATTGGATGATGACAGCCGCTGCCATTACATTAGACAGGATAAAAATACTGCGGAAGGGCCCTAAATTCTTTTGCATGAGCCACACGCTCACTGACAGGGGGCGGGGAAAACATACTTCGCCTTTGGGAAATTCTCCCCCACCCCGGGGGGGGGGGCATCTCTTGCACATTGGGACTCAGCACTGTGGCTGTCTGGTGAGTGAGCTAGGCTGGTTGGGGATGGCAATTCCTAGGTGTCTTGCGTGGCCGGACGAAGCCCATCAGAGTGACAAGCCACTTCCTTCCACCCCAGGCCTGCTCACCCTGGTTCCCAGGGCTGGGGGCTCCTTGCTCCGTTGCTGGAGGCTGGATTCTTGCCTGGCTCAGTGGGTCTGATCCAAAGTCCACTGCAGTCCATGAAAAGGCCCCCAGTGGCTTCCGGGTGCTTTAGCGTAGTGCTGGTCGAAGAGCACAGACTGGTGCTACAAACAGCTCCGTCCGATACAGGGCCCCGGGAGCTGCTGAGTTGTTACCCCTCACCCTGCTGGGGAAAGTGGAGCTCTCCTGGGTGTGCGAGGGTTAATACGTTTCCAGTGCTGCACCGGCCGGCAGTGCTAAGTAGAACAGTTCTCCGAGAAGCAGCTGCCCTTGCAGCTTGTTTCTGGAGTGAGACGACGGATGTAGCATCGACCTTCACCCCACCCCACCTCTGCGAAACCTGAGGTCCTCCAGCATCACAGCCAAAAGGGTCTCCAAGAACATGACAACCCACTAAAATGCGGCTGTGTCTGGGGCAGAAAGCAGCAGCCAACTAGCACCACAGTGCAGAGGGGAGGGGACATTCGGTCTGAGGCCGCGGCTGCAAACCGTCTGCTTACAGAAGTCTGCTGCAGGGACCAGAGCGGATCTGGGAGTTAAGTTCTCACTCAATACGCAGTAGAGCGGAAGGGACACAATTTGCCTGGGAGGCGTGAAGCGCTGCGAGGCAGCTGGGCCAGGGTCTGCAGCTGGGGTGATTCGATATTTCACACCTTGGACATTCAGAACAGGCTGTGCAGGGAGATTCTCCCCGCTCTGAGCTGCAGCTGACACAGGCTAAGGGGATGCCAAGCCCTTTCTTAACCAATGGAAACTTTAGCTTCGCTGCAGCCGGCAGCGTCCAGGAGCCCTGGGGACCTGGTGACCCCCGAAGCAGCCTGGAGATGCCCCTGGCTGAAATACATCCAGTCTCACACTGTGCCCTTCCTGCTGGGCCCTGGACCATGGCAGCCCAGGAGCAGAACCCTTCTGCTCTGCCCTTTTCCTCCTCAAACCCACATTTGCTTCTCAAGCAATTTGCAGGCTGACCACAGCAAGGCCAGGGTTGAGCAATATCGACCTCGTCCCTGCTGAACTCCACCGGCAAGGCTCGCCCAGCTCTGCTGAGCTTTTCTGTTTCTTCCTTGGATCAATAGGAGCTTTTGGGGAAGTTTATCACCTGGTGTTTGACACTTGGGACCAAGGCCTTGGCTTGGGGAGGAGCTCCCAGATGCACTCGGGAGAGGGGGGGCCTAGGAAAAGTGGCCCCTTGCTGCTGGAGAGGGCAAAGCTCAGCGGGCATTCATTCTGCACCTGCTGCTTCCCTCTGTGAGCCCCATCCTGTAGCCCTGGCTCACACCACCCGCTTTGGTGGGACCAGCTGGCTCGCAGGATTGGGCCCTTCGTGTGACACAACGCGGCCCCATGCAGGAGAAGCCAACTCATTCAGGAAGGGCCCAGCTGAGATGCTGGGGGTGGGGGGCAGGGCTCCCTTGTCCCCCAGGTCCCACTGTCCCTCATTTACTCTCTCTTCTGCCCCAGCTGGCAACACTTGGGGGGCGGGGTGCTGGAACAGGGCAGACCCTCAGGCAGCCCCTGGGTGTTTGGCTGTATCCCCTTAGCCTCTCACAGTCTCACACCCCTTCCCGGGTTTACCTTCCACCGCTCGGCCCGGGGCGTGGGTGTCTCCGGCAGCGTCTCCTCCTAGGCAGGGCAGCCTTTCTCCTGTAGCATGGCCCCATCCCTGTGAAACTTTCCCCTGTTCAGCTCCTCCAGGCTCCGCAAGCCTTGCAGGTGTGCCTCGTTAGCGCACGCAGGCCAAGAGGAGCTCGTTAGCCTCCTCCCTCCCAGCATGAGGGCAGGTCCCTTCCCAGATGCCCAGATTCCCTCCTTCCCCTTCACTCCCCGGGTGGCCTCGCAGGCTGGCAGGACGTTAGCTAGGGCCAGGCAGGCCAGAGCCTCCCAGATGAAGCCTGAGGGCTTAATTCTCAGTGTCCCTGTCCCTGTGCAGGGGGGCAGGGCAGGGCGGCCGGTGGCTTTAGGCCCCTGGCATAAGTAAGAGCAGCCTCAAGGCTCTTCTGCTCGGCTTCCCCTATGGGCCCCTGGAAGCAGAGAATACCCAGAGTGCAGTGCGCTCAGCAAAGCCCCGATCCACCCCTCTGCGAGGGGCCTGGCTGGGGAGGTGCAGAGCCCCACATGGGGGAGTGTGATTCTGAGGGGGTCATTTCCACCCACTTTATGATTCGGAGCCAGTGCCCCCTACAGGGGAAAGGCCCCATGGCCCAGTCCCGGTCCTCAGCCTCTCACAGACCACCCCCTTGTGCACATATTCCCGAGCTCCGGTCAGAGCTGGCAGGGAAAACGGGTCTGAGGAATTCAGCTTGTTTCTGTGCCCCTCCACACGTCTCTGTCTGGAAAATGCATTTTCGGGGCTGGCATTGTTCCTGGATTGATATTTCAGAGCTCTCGGTAGCAAGCCCTCGCTGCACTTTGTGGCCTGCCTGAGCCCTGGCCCAGAGACACGGTTACACTGTCAGGAAACGTTTCTTGTGTCCTGGCTTCGGAGCAGAGCGTGATGGATCGTTAGCGAGCGGAGTGGGGGGCAGCTGAGCAGAGACTTACCAAGGCTTGGACCAGGGGCGTCAGCTGGAAGGGGAGAGGCCATGTGGTTCACTGGCCTAGCCCACTGGACCGACACTCAGGCGACACCGGTTCCAGGCCTGGCTCCGTTGGGCAAGTCACTTACTAGCTCTGTGCCTCAGTTTCCCCACCTATAAAATGATACTGGCCTCCTGTGCCAAGTGCTTTGAGAGCTACATGTGGGGCAGCCATTCCCTCCAGCACCAAGCGCCCAGTCCCAACCAGAGCTGCATCCCTCCCTGCCACTGCTCCTCTCCTGGGCCCGGGAGCTCGCCCGGCTCCCCCTGCTGAGCTGCCCATGTCCTCTGGGGGCAGGAAGGACGGAGGGCAGCAGGGACTGGGTGGAGCGGATTGACCCGGGGACGTGGCAGGGGAGTTTACTGGGGCTGTCTGATCGGGGATGAGATAGCACTGG